CAATTGTCCACGGCCTAATCGCGTCCGTACAACGTCTGATTTTAGGTATATAAAAAGCGCGATTTGCCGAGCATTCGTCAGTTGTGCTCCAGACGTCAAGGGGTGAACATGGATCCCCGTCACCGTAATGACCTCGTCTTGCTGCTCCAGCAGCATCAGAACCAATTGTCATAACATGTATAATATATTTTATTTATATTAAATTTTATTTGATTGTTTGTGTGTTTGTGTTGGGGTGGTGGAAATATAAGAAAACAAAAAATAAAAATTGGATTAAAATTATTATCTTCTGTACTTTGTAAGATAAATGTCTTAATCTAATTTTTATTATACCCGTGGTAGGCTGCGGTACCGCCGCGCTTCACCCGCGATAAGGACGCAGAACAGTCGCCGGCGTCTGTTCCCTGGGCATACCACGGGTAAACCGCGGGTAAGCCAATTTTGAACATTTTCCACCACGGGCAACCGCGGGCAAAAAAAAATCGCGAAATTTTACCCGCGATACAGACGCGAAAGGCTGTGTGACCGGGCCTTTAGGTACAGACAGGCAGACATGGTTCCGATCTTGACAGTAGCTTTATCAGTAATGACTAATAAATACTAAACCTTTGACTAGTCCCCTGGGGTCAAATAAATTTTACTGGTATATCGTGTTTCGTGACAAGAAATGCTTGGTGTCGTATTAAATTCCGATTTATTGTATTGCAACAAAACTGCGAAGCTATCACAGTTTTGAAAAATCGCCCAATTTCCCCATTGATCCTACTGGTCTTATGGTGTGTTTCTTTTTGCTTGGGATTTGAGGATATTTTGATATACATTATTTATGTCAAAGATTTTCATGATGTAAAATTACTTTCATGTCAAGTGTGTTACCGGTAGGTGTGAAAAATTTCTTCAAGAAAATTCTAATTGTGAGAATTGCTGACATGTAGTTTCACTAATATAGCAATTTTGAACAACAAAACTGGTCTACACATTTTTGACACCGGACCTATTTGGACAGCTAATTAATTACTGGCATGTGATACAGACCTCAAACGTCCACCTACTGTTTATACCTTTAACTCCTACTGGGTCGTTAACTTGAAAGTCAATTAATTTCCACTGACCACATCAGCTACAGTATCTGTGTAGTACACAGGTACAACTTATATCTATAACTCTCGAGTGGTTGTTAGTGTGACTCTAATGTGGTCGTTAACATGAAAGACAATTAATTACTACTGTTCACATCGACTGTGAGGTAAACAGGTATACGTCTATATCTGCAGACAATTTTTAAGATGTCCACCTACGGTCAAGGCAAACAGGATCTACCTGCGTGTGAGCGTACACTGGCACAGGTACAAGGTATGCTTAACGACTTGGAGATGGGAACGAGGGCGTGGCTGTGACAGACGTACTTATAAGTGGATATCAGTGTCAACAATTCACTAGGTACAGCTGTAAGGTGTAAACAGAATTCCACCTGCTAGTTTAGTGTTGAAGAGGAAAGGAAAAAAATCTTTTTCTACGGTTGATAAAGAGCAATGAATGTCATTATAATCAAGCTGTGTTTCATTTTTTAATCAAGAAGCAATTAGTTTACTTTTGATAGACACGTCAATAAATGTCCAATATTATATATTAATGTTAATGATAAAAATCTTACAGGAATAAAAAAATCTCTCAATTCTATCCCCGCTAATGTTATGAGCATGAAATGTCAAATAGACTTGGAAGATTAAACGTCCACAATGCAATCACTACACACGATTAATGCATGCACAGGTAATGTGCTCCATGTAGGCGTGAAATTTATGTGCATCTTACAAATTAACTTCTGTAAGATGACAGTTAAGATAGCACAGTTGCCGGAATTATCTGTCGGAATTATCTGTCAACTGTACAAATCGTATTCTGTGTTTAGGTCCGATACATGATACAATGATATCATAGTCCCTGTGAACAACTTTAATTAAAACACATTGCATGTCTCCATTTCCATCCTGTCAGTTTTATCAAAGTAATTTAAGTATTTCCCTCCTACACAGATTTTAAATTCAAAAAGGCAAAATGGCATATTTATTTCCACAAGGACACAGGTTAGGTGTCATGAATATCTGGTGTTTAGGCCGTGATTATAACTCCAACTCCATAAATCTGTGTTTCTTTTCTACCCCACAGCACAGATTAATTTACATACAACACAAAATGTAGTTTTTTAACAAAGAGCATTTTGATCTTGAACTATGTTTCCTAGCTAGCTGCCTCCCACAGAGTTAAAAGGACAGCTTTTCCTTCTTACATAGGACACAAAAACTGTGTTCAATGATGCCTTCCCTTCTTATCCTCCACACAAATCAAAACATCTTTTAAAGACTCTGATCGTCATGCCATATTTAAATTGTTTTTCTTGATGATTTTAAAACTGTGATAGAAACATGTTTTCTTAAACATGTATAAAATAATATTATGATTAACAGAAATTAGTGAACAACTTATTTACACAAGTTAATTTGATTGAATCCTGATCATCAATCCTTAGGAGATTTCAAAAGTGAACTAGTTGCTTTTACTATAAACTATTCCATAAATGACACTTTGTATACAAACAATACTTTCATATATGGGTACTGGTAACTCATCTCATCTATCAAAAAGGTCACTTTCAGGAAATTTATTAATATTAATTAAGTCAAATGATAACACATTAAACCAAATAATTTTTAAAAAGTACAAACTATTATATCCTACTCCTAAATAAGTTATCGCAATCGATTCATCCATCTCGGAAACATCTGGAAATATTTATCATACAGTTACACATCCGAAACATCTAGAAACATTTGGAAGATCGTCTTCATGAAAAAATGCCAAACAGACATTGTGTAGTTTTTCCTACAATATTAGTGCCGTTCCTAGATGACAGACATGTATGTGTGTTTAATGATACTCTTACACACCATGCCCTGTACAATTTCTATATGTATAATGTATTTAACCTACTAAACGCACCAAAGTAATTCTGACAAACGATCACAATATCAGAAACACTGATGATAAACTTAAATGTTTATCAATTACAGGTGACTTGGAAATTGAAAGTTTTTAAATGAAAGTCTTTGGTCATAAAGAGAAGGGAATACATTTTGTTGACTAATTAGGCATTAATACCCTGTTAAGGAAAATATCAGTAATTCTTTTGTATTTTTTTTCAAAGATGAGGGTTGCAATTTTAGAGGTATATGTGCTAATTAAGTGAATTACATTACAGTACTTTTCAGAGTTCTCTCTCTGTCTGTCATGCATGTTGCCGCCCCTCCCCCCTCCTTCCCAGTACACTAAACCACTGCCATTAATAACTGGCCAACATCATTCAACAATATATCCAAAATTGTACCCAGCCTTACACCATTATAGCCATCACTCATAAGAGTTAACTTATATATCATAACATATTCCCTAAACCTTGTTCCATGACCTTCAATAGATCTGATATTTAAATATCCTACTAACCGATATTTCTATCGGGATATGGAGAAGCAGAAATAGTTTTTTTTTATATGATTGATATCAATAATGACCATAAACCCAAGTTATTACTTTTTGACATGTAGTATACAAACATGTATTCTTAGCAAAGCATTTATTACTTTTCGAAATCATCTTACATATTACACACCTGCCAACACTCAACAAAAGATTTCATATTAAAAAAAACACCTGATTGATTCAATGTGGTCCCTGTTTCATTACAAAACTAGAAGTGTGAATGTTGTGAAAATACACTTGTTGAGAATATAAGTGAAAATGGGATTATACCCGTAGTATATTTCATTTGCTTTAAATGTTGTTATTGTTTACTATTGTTTATTTGTATTTTCATAGGAAAAATATTTCCGACAAAATCAACCAAAACATTTCTAATATATGTGTGTGAGAATTTAATTCTAGTCTGTGACATTTTAGCTAACGAACAAATAATAGTATTAAGATTTTGTTTATCAGCTAAACAGCAATCCAGTAAGTTGAAATTTTTAAACCATAAATATATTGCTTTAATTTTAAAAGATATTATAACATCTTTTATTGACATTAAGAAAGGTCTTGGACAATGAAAACTTTGAGGTAAACTATGGCTGAACTGTTAAATGTATTTCTTGGGTATATCTTATCAAATACCTTTTTAAGCTGTCAAAAATAAGTTATTGTCAGTCTATTAAAATACAATCTCATCAATTATAATACATGTAATAATTACATAACAGTTGTGCTCATTACAATAGCTCACATTAATATTACATAAAGAGCAATTAATGAAAGCAGACATATGACTGTGTACCAATATAAAAATAAACACAAGTTTTTTTTAAAATATTTTTTTTAGAAAATGAATTAACATCAGAGCGCGAGGTTAAATTGTGTGTGGTAAGCTAATGGGGAAACATTACATAATTCAGAATAATTTAGTTCTTTTCGCAAAATTACTAACAGGACTTTTTGACAGCAGATCATTTATGTCAACGACTATAATTGTTTAAGCATCCCCAGGTCGTGATATCTGACGTCGCATGAAGACAATGGTAGCTAGTGCTGGTGCAAATTCTGTGTATGCTAGGCATTTTGATTTATGTAATCTCTGTGACCGGGAGACAGGATTATGATGATTTATATGTAAGTGTATATGCACCGGGAGAGAGCTTGATTTATTACAATAAAATTAACACACAAAATTGCTGATCTGCCTGTAACTCTCCCTATCCACAACTTATATGATGCATTAAATTCACAACATTTTGAAATTATCCTAATACATTTGAGCCTCATACATAACAGCTTAGGAGGCTGAAATATAAAATGGCTTGCCTACTGGGATATTATGAACAGTAAAATATGTCCTCCAAAGCACTAACTGTGTATGTCATTGGGACAACCCGATGACCGGTAGCTGGATTAAAGATACTGGTCTGTCAATTCATAAATAATAATATCCATATAATTTTTTTGGTACTCACCCCTCGGGAAGCTCGTTGGGGTCGCTGGGGATGGACGAGGGAATGACAGATGCATCGGTTACGTTGGGGCCTGACCCCGTGAGTGAACTGCCCCTGTCCCGGGAGATGAGACTGATGACGATTTGTCCTCGAACATTGTCATTATCGTCGCTGTTATTCCGCTGTAAGTCGAGTCGTTGGACTGTAACAGAGATTTGTGAGGGTCGTTGCTGAGTACAGCGCAGAGGCATTGAGACACAAACCGACATTGGTGTAACATACAATCCTACAGAGAAGTCATTCCATCACATCACAATCTATACACTGACCAAACTGTTTAATCCCTGATACACAGGCTGTGTATAGTATGAATGTAGAAGGCTATAGTAACTCCACAGCTGTATATTAGCTAACCCAGTGGTGACAGTGTGTATATATATACAGGCAGTAGTAGCCACGCCAGGCCTGGATCAGTCCACACAGTCCTATACACAACAGGTTCAGAGAAAGCTGCTGCAGTGTAGGTACTTTCCTATAGCTAGGACAGCAGGCCTACTACTGTGGTGCAAACAGCTAGACAAATGGTGCCTTGCAGAGACAAAATGTCCCTCCTTCTAGCTAAGTTGAGTCCTACCTGTAAAATCACACACACACCAGGTAAATTCTGTCAAGATCGACCCTAGTACAGGTTAACTATCCCATCTGACACTCGACCCCCTGTCAAAGCGATATCTACCTTTCCCTTTACACCTAACACATGAAATGGGTGCAGACATCATTTAATCATTCGTCCATGAACTATTTTCTTTTTCGCAAGACTTTTTATGTAATAGATCGGATTTTAAATTCACCACTTCCAAAAATATATTTTCTGATATACATTAGAAGAAATATAATGAATGTAAAAATATTCCGATATCTTTTATGTCAGTTTTTGTTGTGTTCTTAATGTCATCAAGGCTCTGGAGAACATTATCAGTTTCATTTTATGACTTTAAATGGTGAAGAAAAAACCCAGAAGTATATAAAGAAGACATTCAGTTTGAATTTCCTGTTTAGACTTATTTACAAAGTATTCAGTTACACACAAAGGCAGTGTATTATACACCCACTTGTTTTTCTATTTTTTTCTTCTTAAAAAAAATACAATTTCTCTATTCATAATAACAGCACAATTGTTTATCTGTCAAATCTTAGCAACAGAAATACACAAAAACATATATATCTATTTTGCAATCTTATTATATTTTTCATATTTTGGCAGGACTGCTGCATTCATGAACTAAAAAATTGTTTTTGTGAACAAAAACATGTCTCCCCTTATTAGCCAATAGACACTGTATAAAAAATTAACAAAGGGTCCTATATCTCTTTATATAGTGGGGCATCCCAAATTTAGAATGCCACACTCCTACTTCCCAACATACATAACTATAGCAAGTTTGGTCAACGTAGGTGAAATAACATGGAAGTTATGCCGTGGACAAACTTCAGTATTAAAAATAAACAAAGGGCCATAACTCTGTATATAGTGGGGTATGGGCCTAATTCTAGTGCACTGCACACCTTCTGTGTGTGATGCATGCATACCTCAAGTTTCATCAAGATATCCTTAACAGTTTAGAAGTTATGGCCCGGACAAGTTGCAATTAGAAGAACCAGAAGAAGAACCAGTACTAATACAATATGTCTCCCTTCATTCGAAGGGGAGACATAATTAATGATATGCAGTCAAATCTATCTGAATGACGTTTCTATTAAACTGATTCTTAATTTGTAAAACCATAATGATATCTTCCCGCAAAATTTCCTTTATAAATCTATTTGCTCCTTTCCTTTTTGCTTCTAACAATTCCAGCTGCAGTAGGCCTCGTAAATGTCAACATGTCACAATGTCAATGTCACGGACTGTAACTACACAAAACTAAATGATATCTGAAACCATTATCACACCACTGGGCTGTAAAGTATAAATATGAGACCGGGTACTACCTTGTCAAACACTATTGTATTACCGTACCCACCCAGAATTAGCATTGGCACAAGCTCCTGAAGGACAAGTTATAACGCTACTGAAAGATCTAAAAATAACTGCAATACAAGCATATTTTAGGTTATTATTTTTCTAATAAGGCCAACTCCTAATTTCTTATTTTCTATGAACTCATCACATTTTGGAGAGCTTTATAAACCTTTAAACTTGAGAGAACAAATGAACTACAACACGCATGTAAACTGATTGAACGTTCGCTCTATGGGTACCCTTCCCTATTTGAACTTTTGTTATCAAAGACTGATATGTTCCGGTCAAGCGATACACTCTGTTTAATGAGACAATAGGACATGATTTCAGTGCGAAACAATCCGCCTTTCAAAGAGGTACTAACATACGAAACTCTGCAATTGTAGGTGTGACTGAGAATACAAGATATATATATATGTCCCCTTGACAAAGTGACACACAGACGGATAGAGTGCAAACCCAGTTCTATCCTGTAGTACTGATGAAAGTCAAGAACGGGGAATCAATTACAGAGCTGTAGAGGACTTGTAGAGCTAATCACAGAAACGAATAAAACTTTTAAAGATTTGTCTGTCTGAGAGAGGTGTCAAATGTCAACCATGTAAGTTCTGGCTTTCTTCAGAAAATTGATAAAGTCAGTCCACACTTCCTTTCAGCAAAACACAAGACTACTTTGTTTACCTTAATAAAACTTATCTTTAGCAAATGTACGTCAGAGAAGTTTATAACATCCTATGACCATTTGTAAATATATCATGAAGATTGTGACATGGCACACTCGCTGCAGCCAGTCAATCGTAAATTGCTTCATTGATCCATGTTTTTTGTTTTGGTGCAAAATGTGAAATTCTTTATCAAGAAATTCAGTTTTTACAAAACATTATAAGAAACATAGCTTTAGACACCATTTAATTTCCCAAACAAACTGAAAACTTTGTCAAATTCTATAGCCAAAATTCATTTAAATAATTAGGCAGTGTTGTAAATTTTCAATTTATTGTTTTGAATAAAATATTGCTAGGGTAGACTTCAGGTGCAGCTTTGGTACTAATGGTAGGATGCAGTGTTTATCTCTTGACTTCACCAAACTGGATAGCTCTATTGAAAACATGTGTCAGGCTTTGTGATAATGGGTTCTACAATTAGGAAGATGACAGCAATTAACCGAAACATTTCGGGGACAGAATTTGTCACTTATTTTATGTTTTTTTCTTTTCTGGAGGTTTAAGTACAGAACAGCAAGCTTAAGTAACCAAATAACTGGTCCCATCTACATACTGTCGGAGCAGGAAGACATTCCTCCATCAAACCTCTCCCCCTTCGGTCCTGCCTGTCAAATGTCATACTGACAACAGGTTCAGAAAGTCACAGATACATACGGGGAAACATCACACATGTATCTGGGCATTCCAAAAATTGTACGAACATGGTGATCAATTATGTTTTTGTGATGTATGTATGTGTACTTGTCACAGACAATGGCTGCTGCTTGGCTTTTAAACGGGGATCGGGTTACCAATGAATGCCATGTTTTCCAATTATACAATACACAGCATTTACAAGTGAAAGCCAAGTTATGTCAGACATGTTTTTTCCTAGAAAAAAGTCAGTAGGAAATTAATGCCCCTGCTGTCATGTAAAATTATTTTCATTGTTTGACAATCAACCATGGCACCCTGAAATAAGAAATTCATCTGACTGTTCATGGCTTTCTTTATAAAGTTTGATTATCTGTTAAGGTAAAGGGTACCACTATTGCAAAGAAGAGCCCTATTCAATTTTTTTTCTGACTTGGGAGTAATCTCACTTGAAGCAAACAAAAGGATTTTTATTAGCTTAGATTAACTTCAGTTGTTAAGTTACGTATTTTTCAATGTTCATTTTTATTATCATACACTTTGAGAGCACTAGAAATGACTATCATTTTGGTACAATTCATTTACAATTCCAGGATGGTAGTGTTGGCTTAGTGTAAAAGTTCCTTTCTAAAGGTGTTTTTTTCCGTTTAATTTTTATTTCTATTTTTTTTAATATTCAAATTTCAATAACTATTTTACTGTGAAATGCATCACAATAGCATTTTTGTGGAATATTTATTTTTGAAAAAAAACCAAACAACCATTAAAAACATACGGGTAGTTTAACTTGTTGGTATGTTTTACTGTAAGAATTTAACTCGTAAGTTATACGAATATGAAGAGTTTGATGTCTAACATTATGACGGATTAACCTCACCAGCCAAGTTTCTCGAGAACATGGAAGCGTCCAGTACCACTGAACCAACATGACGGCTACCATGGCGGAGGTAAACACCCTGACAGCAATGTCCATTATATATATATGGACAATTACATCTACATAACGTTTCAAATGAAGTCGTAAAGTGGGTGATAACTTGCACACAGTCTTTGTTGTTGGAAGGTATACACAGAGATACAGATGTCAAATCGACACCCTAACTTTTCAGTAAGGCTCGCATTATTTCTACACATACACACTAGTAACAATGAAACACAATTTTACGAGTCTTGTCTAACGAATGGGACAGAAAATCTGGCACTGGGTATCAAAATTGGTCAAGATCAGAATATTAAGGAGGGAAAAAGGGAAGAAAAGGATGCTATACACTGTCAATGACAGACAGAATGAATTTGTATCTCAAGACAAAATACCGTAACATCTTGAAGAAATTTCCAAGGAACACATATTAAAATCAAGAAATCTTAAAAATCTGTCCTGTACCATAAATAAAAAGGAATTTTCAAAAATTATGCTTAATTACAAATGGTACAAAAAATTATCAAACCTCACCTCTGAATAAAGATGACCATGCCATGAGAAGGTCTTTTTCACAAAATGTTAATCTAAGTAAATGAAACCCTGATCAGTGAACTTACATCCAGTGTCCTTGAGCTGTTGGATAGCGTTAGACTTGATCCTCACACAACCAAGGAAACCAGCTCCTTGCTTTTTGTGGATCTTCTTGTGGTTCCAAATACTGATGGTCACAGAATCTTTACTCCCAATATATCTGTAATAGGGGTCAAAATTATAAGGTCACCCAATCACCAAGGTCAAAAATTTCATAGGTCAAATAAGGTCCTAGGTCAGCAGATTCAAGTTCAGTATGGGCAGTAAGGCTTGTGTATGTTGCAGGACAATTAAATAAATATCTGCAGGTTTTTCAAAAAAAATCCATGACAATCACATTAACATGAGAAAAATAATGACTTTGGACCTCTGTCTCCATATAACTTGCAGTATCGGTTTCTGGACATTTTGATTGGCAGTGAATACTTTCCTGGACCAGGTTCTTTTTTTTAATTGTCACATCCAATGGTCCAACATGTTTGAACAGGTCAATTAAATTGTACTTACAGGTCATAATGCTGGTTCCACTTTGGGTCGAGTGTGTTTTTACTGGTGTCTGTAGAATGACACTGCCCTGAACCATCTACACTGATCTTAGCAAACGGATCCGGAAGTCCTGCAAAAAAAAAAAAAGTTTTTATACCATTTTCATTAGTCAAGCATTGATACAATTCCGACAATGCTTATAAGCACAACAATGTTTTAGGACACCCTATATCGGGTTGACATGGTATTTTGTAAAACCATGTGTTATAGTAAACATGTTATCACACTCATATTTACCATCACACACTACCTTACAGATTATATATGGTTTGTTCCGAATTGTCTCCCTTAAGAACATTAACTTTAATAAATCAGAATTACCTTAGTTTAATCAATACAGGTATTTTTGTGTACCTTTTACATGTGTTATAATTCATTGACAATATGACCAAGTCCACATCAACATTATTACAATATTTTATATTTTTCTTATCATGGATCTATTTTGAAAGGAGGTACACATCACAGTACTGTAAGGTAGCATACAACCTTGAGTAGTTTTCATGGTATGGTAGCTTACAGCCTTAGAATCCTCCTGCTTTTAGTTATAAGCGCCAAAATACATTCACATGTTTCCATTTTTTTAACATTCCAAATTAATTCTTCTTTTGTGATGTATCTTGCCACATTAGATATTTTCATTTCCAAACCGATTTTTTTATAAACATGATATATCTTACTCTGAACCAAGAAAGGAGTTATAATTATAGCAAATAGGGTACTACATCATATGAAGGTAGATAGAAAAGCATCTTTTCATGTTCATCTTAAGGTGCGACATATGTAGAGGCTAGTCAACAATGAGCGGCAGATGTCAGGACGATAAATAGCCAGATTATAACCAGGGGGACACCATTACATGCTCAGGTATGGTGGACATGAAAAACCAGCCAGCCCACCACGATACAGTCATATACTAGAGCATACAAGTCTGGTCCACTTACAGGGTTAGAAACTATCTGTAAGTCTGTAAGTCCAAGACTTGTCAACTATTAATGACTACATTGTATTAACATTAGTCTTCAGCAAAGTCTTCCAGACAAGTAGTTTCCTTTTCCGTCACAAAAAAAGTCTGAGAATAATGAAAGGTTTTGACAAGAAAAACCAGCCACCAACAACTTCAGTCGACAATTCCTTTCACTAGTTGTTACCCAACTCATTTAATTACTGAAAATACACAAGATTTCTTTTTTCATTTTCTTTAAGTATTGTATGTTTTTTCTCTGTTTTCGTGGACGTGAAAACATCCTCTTTCATGTCTTATAGGACACTATATGGTATAATAGTTATTTCACATTAATATGGTATAATGTTTCTTTCACAAAAATTTCTAAAGAAAGGACTTTCATGAATCCTGTACTTCTGTGGACTGGTAGCTTCAAAATTTAATGCCCATGTTGAGAACAAAGCAGCACAACAACAACATTTTTGATGTAAACAAAATAGCTATAACACCACGTGTTAAAAAGCCATGTTACTCCGGTACAACAACTAAGTCAAAATCGTGCCCAATCTTATTGCTAAATCATAAAACCAATAGAATATGTTCAAAATTCCAAACCAAATACAGTAAACTTTGATGATGACTGGTAAACATTTATCAACACTCCAGCATATGGTTATCATTTTCCATATCAAACATAACACATTCCAAACAGATTAATACATTCATTATAGGGATGTTGAATTTAGAAACTTCATATACTACATCACTAAATATCCTGCCATTAATTGATTTCAATTCCTAAATTTTTTGATGAAAAAAAAAAGAGGATAAATATCTTTAACACACACCCCAGAAGACACATTTGAACTATTCCAATTGAAAGGCTGGAATAGTTCATTATGAAAGTTCAGGGGTAAATGAGTTAAAAAGACTTGGTGGGTGTTTGGGGAGGGGTATATTGCTAGATATATCAATCAAGTGTTGTAAGATATCAATTATAACATCATATATCTTTATATCAGATAAAAATTGTTTCATAATCTCCATTTTTTGGCTAAAACAAAAGACATTAAAAACACTCTTCCCTATTATTATGACCATGACCTATAATTAAACTATATGATTAGTCATCCAATTAACCAGAATATGAGTAATTTTTATAACGAGGCTACTATTCACATCTGCAGGCAATCAGATTATTATGTATGTATCATACACCACGTACAGATGATATGGACAGTTCATTCAGGTTTTCAAACAGAACACCCTGAATCATAAGGAATATGTCTAAATCTATTCCCAGGGGTCAAAACCTATTATTTTAGCCACTAGGAAAGATTTGAAAATGTACCATCATTTCCCCTTAGATCTCCCTTAAAACACTTAATCAGCCTTCCCATTTTTCATTTCCTCTAGGTTTCTGTATAGCTTTTTGAAAATGGGAAAGATGCCTATTGGTAGAACCAGGAAAAAGTCTGGGGTGTGTTTTGTATAAACCACACATTATCTGCTGGTATTATTTTACAGATTTGAAATAAATCTGGACAATAACTGGAAATGCCCATTGCTATTTGTAAAATAGAGATTTCAGCATTTTGACTTCAAACTTATGGGATTTTAAATTATACGGACTGAAGTTGGAATTTTCCTACTACCCTTTGACTGCTCATGGCATGTTCAAGTAAATTTTCCCCATTCATGACCAAGACCATCGGAAAATTCCTGCTTCAACCCTTACACCATCCATCCTTACTACCTGTGGTTATCTCCCCTTCCTGCTCCATTCGTCCTTGACATTGTAGTCTGATACATGTCCTATGCAAGTTGTGTGAAAGTCATTATTTTTGGAGATTTTTTTTTGCAAACTAACGTTACACCTGCATTTGAGGGATGGCCAAATTACATGTAGACAGTGTTACAGTATGTTGTGGTGGTGGTCCCGCTATCATCTACAAGTCCTTACTAATTACATTTACTGAGATACATGCAGTAATTCTCCAGTTATAGCTGTACCGGCGCCTCAGTCATTCAGATATATCAGTCAAAGAAGGAGAGCGAGGACATAGCCACAGGGGTTTACAATTTCATATTTTGAGTTCTATTGTCTACAGACTCATCCCGAAAAAAAAAGATTCTACTAGCTCAGATCATTTTTCACAAGCACGAACATATCTACAAGATCCAGGTGTCAGGTTAGTGGATTTGACAGGCCTGGACAAAACCTTACATGATCCAGCGGGGGCTTGCTCATTTCTGCACAAAAAACATCCCTATTTCCAAATAACCAAACAATACTAGTCCACTCAGTCCAACTACTTGGAATGAGAATCAATGACAGCAGCCATGTATGAAGTATACCATGCCTAAAGTGAACTAGTACTTGATACAATACAGAAACCTTTATAAATCAACCAACCACATCAGTCTACCTCTACTGTTTGTTAAAAGGGAATATATTTACTTTATATATATACTAAAAAAAACATAATGCGCTAAATAATATCAATTACATTTTGTGATAAACAATTCAATTAGTAAATTGAAGTACATGTAATTCTATTTCAACAATCATTCCTTTGTGAAATTGAATAAGAAGTTAGTATGAAGGACCAAGAAACAGGTTATTTACATATAGATTAGTCCTATATTATCGTAATTCATGGCCCCCCAAGCAATATCAAACCTTTTATCTCTACAAGGTTTAGCTATATACATACATTTGTATACCTAAACTGCAAACGGTGCATTTTGGCAATAAAACCTGTGAGCCAAAATTAAAACGGGGTCAGTGTATGCCATAAACTTTCCTAAGTAAACAATGAACACGTAAAACACAGATGGCCTGTGCAATGCCGTGACATAGGAAGGTTCAAATTTCAGCCCATCGACCTACAGCAAATTTAGGCTGTAAATGGGATCACGTAGCAGCCTTCATGTCATGCAATGCACGTGTACTGAACATATTGAAATAGTTGCTTGATACGTGCATAATTTTGAAAACAAATGCTAACTGGATACATATCAAGGATACTGGCATGCACATAAAATGTAGCTGGTGTTAAAAGCAGAGCATTACAGATGGAACAGACAACATTGACAGATGGAACTATAGGGTCCACCTGGGGTCTTTTTATAGTCCCCAAACTTCCTCCTGGTGCTTTAAGAGGGAATGTGCACCCCCTGGGGAGCTGCCACAAAACAATGGCCTATGCTACGTGATACAATGCATGTGTACAATCAGTGCATGGGTGTAAATGATGGAAAGATACCTACAAGGCTGATGTTTAGAATTTGAGGGGGATGGATGGGGAGGGGGAGAAACTGCAGAATGTTTGTAATATTACCAGCAGATGTAACTTGTACACAGGGGAATGGTGTTAAACATATATACCAATTAAGGTACAGAAAATGTATGTTTTACCATATACCAATAAATAAGGCGCCGAAAACATATTACCATGAAAGGAAAAATACTGAACAAAATCTCCATTTAGTCTCCATTTTCTCAAGACATTTTTTTGTTCATCTTAATAAATACAGATATCTTAACATAAATTGTTAATGTTTAGAAAATTGGGGATATTCAGTAATTGCGAACCTTCTTATGGTTAGAAGGTTTGCAATTACTGGCCGATTTCCAGATTTACTTGATATTACTTTTTCCCCTTTACATACATATATATATATATGGATATCTGCTTTAATGTGATCTATCAGTAAACTCAATATTGATGATTTGAAGTTAGGTCACCCTTATCATTCTATTTGAAAGTAAGTTAAACTAATGTAAGCATATTCTGTTATTTAACTATACATATAAGGTTTGAAATATTTTTGTTGTTGACATTGAGTGTCTTTAAATGGTCTACTGTAGCATTCTCCTGAGGATAACAAACTAATTTGTGACAGATAAATTGATATCATTGGTCTTATAATGAAACCTTACATTACTATCAATGCAAACTTTGGTGATGGGTCTTCAACAGGAACTAAAAATCTTACGAAGCCTGTAGGAGTTACCTCCCTGTTATTTCTTTCTTGCCCTAAATATTACATTAATACAGTGTACAGGCAACATGGATCTAGGGATAGAATTCCTCAACCATGACTATCGCCCTGTGGCA